CTTTCACACAATGGAAGCCACAAGGCTACAACCCTTTACATTCTCTAGATTGTGGGAGCAGCCCGCTCCCTACGTAACCGAACTTCCTGTCTCCTCCACTCCTGGCTCCTCACCAGCTCCCTGCCCACCCCAGGGCTCCTCCCAGCGCTGGCCAGTGCCCCATCCTCACCCCCACGGTGAGAGCCCCACATTCTCTTACCTTCCACTAGCTCCAAGCTCCACCACCCTCAAACAGAAATTATAGAACCAGGAGTTTTAAAGCAAAAAACAACTTGCTTGCTTTCTGGGGAATAGGGAGAGATGGTAACTTCGTCCGAAACTTTGACTTCTCTGATTTTCACCAGCTACTTTAAAATTCGCTCTGCTCTTTAGTCAGGATGGTATGACTTACAGAAAGGAAAAGAAATACTGCTTTTAATTTTCTTAATAAGATAAGAACTTTTTTATTGGGCTGATTTTCCTTTGCTGAAAACGATTTGGAAAATAGGGAGAAAATTACTTAATATCTACCCCAGACAAGTTCTTTATATTCACTGCTGATGTAAAAAACAGAAAAGGCCTCCTGTGGCGTGTTAGAATAGGTTCCCTGGTAATTTCATGTCAGGGTAATAATGCAATTTTCACCTTAGAAGTATAATTCCATTTTCTTGTTATAGAGGGACTGACCCAGTTCAAATGCATAATCTCATTCTGTCTCCCTCTGTATTCCTTTAGAACTTGGTCAGTGCCTGTCCAGTCGCCCCTACAGTGTTTTGCCTCACAGTGGAATTATTTGTCACACATAACCACAGCGTGAGCTCATATTAAGGGCAAAGGCTCTCACAGAGAAATAATACATGGTAGTTGGAAAGCCTTGGGGAACTGGGATCAGGCAGACCAGTATCCAAGTGCTTCCTCACCATTTCCTTGGGAAAATTCTGTAGCCCCTTTCCAGACCCCCCCTGTAACACATGTAAAGCTCCTGCTGGGCTGCCTCTTGCTTCCCTGGGTTTTGCGCCCTCGCTCCTTTCCCTGGGCTTTGCATGTGTTAGGGGAGGCGTGAAGGGTGCGTTCAGGCTGCATCGGCCAAGGTGAGGATCCTTTAATTTTCATAAAAATAAAGTCAGTGTGTGCGTCATGTAGATAGATTAGAAAATGTTTGCAAGGATCAGTCTATAAGTTAGTAATATAAAGCATTTTTTAAACAAGCGTGTTGTGCAGCACGCCAAATAATGGAATCAATAACAAAGGGACTGAGTCTCGGTCACTTTAAAATGGGGGGGGGTATATTTTTAACATAACTTTTCCAGTTTCCAACATTTTTGTGCCTCCGTCTTAAAGAACTTTATTAATAATGCATTTGCACTTCCCTATAGACTTTTAGTGGGCTGCAGCTATTTTAAGAGGGGGAAGATAAAAGGGAATTGTCTGGTCTCACTTTTTAATAAATGTCAAATATGAGCTTTTTAGACAGCCGTGCTCGTTTCTTTAGATGTTTTTCTATTCGTCCTTATCAGTGTTCTTTTCATCATCTTGACTGTGTTTCCTCCTGGAGTCCAGGGGTGGGTGATATAGGGTGGGGGGTCACTAATCACCGTGACTAAGGGAGTTCGGGTCACTGTCAGGGTCGAGGTCTCTACTGACCCGTCAGCACTAGGGGAGGGGTCAACCACGGCTGCATCTGGTCCTGGTGGCGGCAGTGACGTCCCTTAGTCTGGTTTCCCAGCTTTTCTGGGCCTACAGCTGAAACACAATTGAGGCCTAGATTGTTATCTCTGGTTTGACGGAAACTCTGTCTCTGAGGTCAGCAAACCCGACGCTTTGTTCTAGAAGATTGTTTGATGCGAGCAGAACCTCATTGTCCTGAGGGCTTAATGCCCGAGGGCATGGGCCTGCCTGGGGGGAGGAGGCAGGTGAGTCAGGGGCTGGGCAAGGCCAGCTTGAATCAAAGGAAAGAAAGGAGAAAAGGTCGAATTAAAGAAATGAAGTTTCTGCGTGGGGACAGCAACCAAATATTCAGCAAGGCAAGAGAAGCAGTCGGCCTCTGGTGGAGTGAGGCTTCTAGGAAGATGCTTGGGTGGTTGAAAAATCCCCCAGTGCTGTTGTATCACACCTTTGTGCCAGTTTTGAAATGTGTAATAAAAGCAGTGTCGTGAAGAAGCTTCATCTGGTCGTGTAATTGCAGTGTATAGTCCTGTGTTAACATCCCTTTCATTTCCCTCCCCAGTTCTTGTGCTGGGCCACACAGTTGTGTGGCTTCTTGTTTACAGAGTGACTCCCCCACACACACACTTCTCTGGTGTCTCTTCTCTTTCCTATACTCCAGTCATGAATTCCATCTACTGAACCTCAGTGGTATTTATAAGAATCTAGTACCTTCTGACTGCCAGAAATATAAACATTATGAGTATTGATGATTTGGGTCCTAAAACCCTGATCTTGCTGAAGTCCAGTGTTAAATCTTGAGTAAGAATCCAGCACACTGGGGTCTTACCATCAGAGCCTGGCTTGGCCATGTCGTGAGAAGTATAGCCCACTCCAGGGAGACTCCCGCCTGTGACCAGGGAAAATGATGTGCGTGCGTGCATGCGTGCGGTTTAATCCTCTACCACAAAACCTGGGATTTAGAACAGGTTTCTAAAGACTGCTACCTAAGCCTGACTGTTTGGTTTGTTTGCTTTCTGGTGTTTGTTCGTTTTGCAGTGTGTTAAGCCGAACACGTCCAGTGAAAGTCAGAACTAGATGTAGGGGAGGCGGCCCGCTGAGCCAGGGCACCAGCAGGGGGGTGGGCGGCGTAGTTCATTGAATCGGGGTGTTCTTGAATACATCACTGAAAAAGAGAAGTTGGGAAGGAGGAGAGTGGTCATTGTGGTAGTTTCCTAGACCATGTAATGAATTTTACTCATTGTCATTCTTTCTTGCAACCAATGAGGTTCTTAAGCCTTGTTAGCGTGACCGGAAGCAGGACCATATTTCCAATTAGGTGGGGGAAATAATAGAGATAAGAAAAAAGATTAAATTGGCAGTTTACCATGTGTGTGCCAGCTTTTGCTTATTGTTAAAACCCCTAAGGAATAAAGCCGCTGTCGATTACTGTGTTAAGAGGTGCTTTGAAATGGAGCTAGAGAGAGAGAGAGCTAGAGATTGGAATGCCCAGCCTAGCAGGAAAAAGGTATACCAAAGAACACAGGGCATGTCTTATAAAAATTATAACCACTTCATAATAATTGTAATAGCAAAAGATTTGAAATAAGCCCATATACCTCAGCAGGGGACTGGGTAAATAAATGCTGGTCCATCCACCCAGTGCAGTCTGTGAGGCTTTTAAGAAAAGAGTGGGCCCTGGACTGGGGGCTCAGTTGGTTAGAGCATCGTCCCGTAGACCAAAAGGTTGTGGCTTGGATTCCTGGTCTAGGGCACATACCTGGGCAGGGGGTTCGATCCCAGATTGAGAGCATATGGGAGGCAACCAGTCGATGTTTCTGACTCTCAAATCAGTAAACATATCTTCAGATGAGGGTTTTTTAAAGTTATTTCTTTAAAAATATAAAAGATTAAGGGAGAGCTCTGTGCACTGACTCAGAATGATCTCTGTTGTGTCGTCATGTGTGGGAAAAACAAAGCCAAGACACAGTACAGTGTACATAGTGTGCTGCTTTCTGTGCAAGAAAGAGAAGATTAGGTACATGTGTACATGTTTGCTTATATTTTCAACAACATACTCCCCCATACTCACATAAAATGAAAAAAAAAGAAAGGAAGCAAGTGAATCTAATAGTACTTTGTTAGTGACATCACCATGGAGAGAAAAGAATTATTATGCCTGACCTTAGAACACATTTTTACCATACATTCTCAATGAGATACTCTCTAAGTACAAAAAATGCAAATGAATTGGATTCGGCTGCTGTATTATTAATAGTTATGTTGATATGATGAGGGATTAAGATTTTCCACCTAAGAGATAAGAAATGAGCATAACGGTTTTTTTTAAAAACATGTGAAAACACTGTATACTTAAATTTGAATTAGAAGTTTAGCAAGACCTTATTCTTGCTAGAGAATAATACATGTGTTTGAGATCCGTGCATGGAAAGGCATAGAAAACAATGAGAACTCAGTAGCAGTGAGCACTCCTAGCACCCAGAGTGTGGCCTTGAAATATCGTTCCCCACTGTCAGAGTCCAGAGGTCCTTGGAGAAGTGTTCCAAGTCTGAGGCAGAGCATCTTGTACAAGAAAGCAAGGAACATAGCCAAGGCTGATAGGTCATTTCAAAAGGACTTGGAGACCAGTCTGAAGGATTCCCATTGGCCAGAGACAGGGTAATTGACTGCAATCGAACACGCAGAAGGTCCATGAAACATGATGTTATTACACCAGTAAAAGGGCCGTCATATTGGTCTTGCATCATTGCCGTGTTACTGCCTGAGGAGCCTCCGGAGACTATTCTGAATGACAGTAGGCCATGTAATTGCATTCTGTATGTTACAGTAGAGAGTTGTGATACATATGCCAGGTTAGAGTTTGTGGTCTCTCCCCCTACCCTCTCCCCTCTGGAACAGGCTGGCTTGGTATCTGACCTCAGACTGACTTTACTGCGACAGGAAACGCACCTCCTGCCCCTCACTGTGTCCTCAGAAGAGCTGAAGTCTGTCTTCTGAGGTTCCCAAGACCTGGGTTCTAGTCCCAGCCCTTCCTCCTGCTCCCTCCATAGCCATCCAGCCCGGAGCCCTGCCGAGCCCCAGATTTCTCACCTCTGAAATGAGGATGAGAACCATCCCGTGTGCCCTGTTCGCCCTTCAAATCCATGAGCAACGGCGGCTGACCTCTCCCACGCCTTCCGGCCCGTTGACACCAGGAATTCTCAGCATTTCCCCCATTACTCTGTTCTTAAGTGGGTGTGTTCACAAAATTCCGACAGAGGTTGGAATCGGTTAGCAGTACGGAGAAACAAATGTTGCCGGCCTGTGACCACAGAGTGGATGGAGAAGTAATCTTCTCTGTCTTTCATCTCTTTCAGCCATGGAATTCCACGAGCACCTGCACAGTATAGGCACCAAGGAAGGCTTGAAGGAGCGCAAACTGCAGAAGGCCGTGGAGAGCTTTACCTGGAATATCACCATCCTCAAGGTATCTAGCGCGTCGTTTCTGGTGCCTGTGATCTGGCAGGCGTGTTTCCTTCCGTCAGTGCCCCCTGGTCTGTGCTGTACGGTCCCAGCCACCGGAGGCTGTCCATGCTCAGAGAAACCCGGTGCCTTGTGCCGTCTGGAAAGCCTGCAGACACCAGAGCTGGGCGGTGTGGCAGGGACAGAGAATGCGCACGCTTGACTGGTTGGCACAGTGTGGACTCGGGTCGGAAGGGAGAAGGGAGCTTGCATGTCGTCCTGGAAGCGTTGCGCAGCTCGCAGGTGCCGGTCGCTGTGTGTGCAGTAGAACGTTTTGATCACAGAGGAATGACTGGGACTTTGAAGACTCTAGTTCCTCAAGTTTCATTTAACATTTTAAATTACAATCACAGTTTTAATATTAATGTGCTCCCAGAAAAGAAGGAGAGAATTGTGTGGGGTATACACAAAAGAAATATGTAAAGGAATTGCCATTTGAAATAAAGTCTCCTTCAAGGGAAAATCCATCTATTTTCCTTCCTTCCTTTTTTTCCTTCCTTCCTTCCTTCCTTCCTTCCTTCCTTCCTTCCTTCCTTCCTTCCTTCCTTCCTTCCTCCCTCTCTACCATCCTTCCTCCCTTCCCCTTTTCTCTTTCTCTTTTTCTCTCTCCCTCCCTCTTTCCCTCCTTCCCTTCCACCTAAGTAAACATGCCCGTTTTTAAAAATTAACTTTTTTATTGTAAAAGCAATAATATAAGGGGGATAAATGGGAATGGGAAAATTCAATAAACACAAAACATTTAAAAAATTAGAAAATGTCAGAATAGCATAACCAAAGGCAGACCGGGTCCTACCACACAGACAAGGCCCGCTGGTTGTCCCTTCTCTGTACTTCCTCCCGGCCTGTTCTCTGTGCTGCATGGAATGGGACATGATTTTTAAAATGATGCCTCGTCTGTGCCTTGAGACCTTCTTTGAGTTTCGTTTCAATGATCTTCACTTTTCTTCATCTCAATGTTTGGGAACTGAAAAATAATAACACAGAAAACATGATTTCATTCTGGATCTTGGACAGCAACACATAAAATTACTCTCAGGTATTCACCCGCCAAGCTTTCCGCTCAGTGGAATTCAGAACTAAAGGCATTATCACGCTGCCTCTTTCAATTTCCCCACGCTCCTGCAGGTTAAAGGGTCTGTCCCAGCAGCTAACGACAGTTTTCTGTGTCGATGTAATAGAAGTTGCTCTCCCAAAGCCGGCCAACTTGCATTTGCTCACGTTTAACCCCTACTCGTTTTTTCCAGTGAAAATCATTTTCTTCTTCAAACACTTCCCTTCCTACACACGTTCTTTTAGATCTTCTGCTTAGGATTTAGCTCTGATCCTTTGCAGTTCAGTGAGGAGAGAGACGCGAATTCACACTGGAGAGGAGCTTGGCTTCACTACTCACGGACTCCCACCAGAGGTGGGGTTTACACTACAAATTTCCTGCAAACCCCAGGAAAAAAGAACACAGTCGTGTGTAGCCTTATGACAGGAATAAGTGCTCATTTGGCTTTTATTTTGTTACAGGCAAAAGCAGACTCGGGGACCACACGTTTATCTGTTAGCTCTCATTGCTACTCGGTCGTGGTCCAGGCACCTGCAGTCTGGGCATGTCTGCCGGGAGCTTGTTCCAGATGCAGCCCCCCAGGCCCCGCCCTAGACCCACCCAGTCAGAATCTGAGTCTGTGCAAGGTTCTGGAGCGTTCGTACGCACATTCAAGTTTGAGAAGCACTGGGCAAAACCACCAAAAATGGGACCCTGGCTCACACATTCATGAAAAACAGTTGACATAAGGCCATGAACTAGACTTTAGAAATAAATAAGCCACACAGCCATGCTAAGGACATGGGTTTTGACTTGTGGACACAGGAGTTTTCCAACCTGTAGAGAATTTTTATAAGGGTTTATCTGAGCCCCACTGACAACGACGTCAGGAAGCAAGACGTCAAGATGCTCTGGAAGCCAGATGTGCAGTTGCTTGTACACCTTTGGAATGAAGGAAGATTACATGGGAGATAACAAGGTCCAAGACAGTCAACAAGTTCTGTGCTCCCTTGAGGGTGGCTACACCTTCCAGGGGTCTGTACAGCGGTTACTTCCGGCATTTCAAAGGTGTGTTAACCTGGATGCCCAAGAACAATGGACAGGGCTGGCTGGAAGCTTTTACTAGAGTTATAAACCTGGGCTGTCACTACTCACCATGACCTTCCCAGTTAGGAACTGATCATACCCCCCGGCCCCCGTGATGTTCCTTTTGGTCACTGAGCTTGTACGGTGCACCCTCTCTTCTGCCCACAGACTTATGTCCAAGAGTGAGAATTAACACCTCAGACTTATTTTCCTATAGAAACAGATGTATCGGATAGGGTAGTGGATAGTTTTAAAATTTCCAGGATAATATGTGCTATGGATGGTGTGTGAGGATGGTTGAACCAGGCAAGGGATGGAGAAGAATCGGGGAGAGCTGTGTGTCATTTCTGTACAACAGAAAGGGCCTCTTCCCTTCCTGTGTATTTCACAGGCTTCAGCTTTCTCTAGAAGAATCCGTGCTCCTGGACTCTTAGACGTGAGCTGCGTCTGAGTTGAACTGCCAGCCTTTTCCTGGCAGGGGCTCCTCCCGTTGCTTGTTCTTTGGGGTGAGCACAGAGAGGTGGTGGCCCCGCTGGGCTGCTGCGTGTGGTGTGCAGTTGTCCCCAGAGGACGCTGGGTGTGAGGAGAGGAGGAGGAGGAGGAGGACCGCACGGTGAGGGAGCTGGGAGGCCAGGGGTAGGAATGACCTGGGCACTACACGGGCAGCCCCCTGAGCCCTACGCAGACCCCCTGGTCCTGGATCTGAATCTCCGGGGATTGGGGGGTGAGATGCAGAAATGTTCTGGTGTAACATGGAACAGTCCACGGGGCAGGGTGACCAGTCATCCAGGACGCAGGACTTTCCGTGTGAAATCTGGGACGGGCCTGGGTGCACAGGACAGCTGGTCACCCAGGCGGAGGCCCCTGCCCTTAGCCCCTTCCATCCAGGGACGGCCACCCCAGTTTTTATGACTCTTGGCTTGCTTTGCTTAGTTTTTCCATTTTAAGAATTGCTTTAAAATACAGAGATGAACAGAGAAGAAGCGTCATCCGTGACAACCACACCCAGCAGGACCCCCTAGTGACATCTCAGCCTGTTTACTTCCAGTCATTTTTTTCTTTGACTAAAAACTGTGTACTTGTTTTCAAACATATCTTCATTATAAAGAAGTTTTTTTTAATGTAGGAAAGATGAAAGTTTTAAAATGATCTCAGGTCGTCCTCCCTTTGAGAAATTACTATTATGAAATGGAGGTGACGTTACACCAGGAAAATTTTTATTGTGCATGTGGATGAATGGATGGACAGACAGACAGATGAATTATTGGGATGCATTTTATTGACTCTGAGTCATAGTGGGGTTTTTTTCATGTTTTTGACACCTATGGGGTTGGTGTGTGTCTATAGTGGCACACATGACATCTCTGCAGGTGTCCTCATTAAACTGGCGATGACTTTTCTTTCTTAGCAGTGTGTAAATAATGATGCGTCTCGTAAGCTCTAGCATCTCAGATATTATAAAATACATCAGTAAATAGAGTCCTATTGTAATTGCTCTTCTTAACTTTAAAAAAAAGTACTATTTATACTTTACCTAATATAACAGAAAGTAAACCAGAAAGAAGCTAAATGAAATGCTGAACAAACTTCTACTGTAAGAGGTATTCATCTCCTCTAACTCCCTCTGAGGTTAAGGAAAAGCGATGAAAAATGTTAATAGGGATCATCTCATTGGGGTTTTTGAAGCTGCACATTTCCATTGTAAGCTCTGTTGGTTGAGTTTCTGCTGTGAAAGATGAGAATATTAGTACTCTAAAATATATCTAGAAAGGGAGTTGGGCATATATCGTCGTTTTTTTTATGTTGTCCAGGTTTAAATCTTCCCACTGGGCCCCAAGACTAATGCCCACGTTGTCTGGTGCGAGTGCAGTATCTCAATTAGTTCACTGTCACTGCGGGATCAGGCAGTCACCCACGCTCTTCTGCAGCCGGAGGGAACGGCAGAGAGAAGAGGGAACTCTCCGGTGGGGTCACGGACAGCCTTGCTTTGAACCGTGGGACCCAGCTTCCTCCTGTGCAAGGGTCCTGGCCTAGGGATTCTGCCTCACAGAGGGAAGAAGCTGACCGCTTCTTTCACTCAGGAGCCAGCCTTCCAGACCTTCCTCTCACTACACAGCATCGTTCTCTCTCTCTCTCTGTTTTATTAAATTTATATAAAATAAATTCACCAATTATGACTACACTATTCGGTGCATTTTTACAAACGTATATAGTCACGCCACCCCATGGCAGTGATGACAGAGCTTTCTGTCCCCCCCCCCCCCGCAAAGGTCCCACATGCCCCTCTGTAGTCAGTGCCTTCCCCGTGCCAACCTCTGACCTGAGTTCCAGCTCTGTCACTTCCCCCGTGCCCGGTGGAATTGGGGATGGAGTGGGTAGTTCCTGCCTGGCTTCTTTCAGGAAACGGAATGCTTTTGAGGTTTGTGCCGCCCCCGTCCCATCACGCCTTCCATCAAAAAGCAGTGAAAGCAGGACACGGCCACTCTGCTTCTCACCGGCTTGGTCGGCTGTTAGAATGTTCAGGATGTTTGTGAGCTGCCAGTGTGAATTCTGTGAGTTTTGGATGTTTGTTCATTATGTTATATCCTTTTCTTGGTTCGGTTGCTGTTGGTGGTTTTAGATTTGTTTTTGTTTTTGCTAATTTTATTTTTGTTGCTCCTTTCATCAAGAATGTGGGACGTAAATTCTAGAATGCATTTTCAGCCCACCAGTTTAATTGGTAATTTCCTCTCCTTTTGTTTTCCGTTTGCTAAAATATTCATTATACAGGTAATAATTCTCCTATTTATTACTATTTCAAAGGTCATGGAACCTCATAGTGGATTCATACCCTGACTCTGTGACTTCGC